TTATTTTGAGGCAATTTAAAATATTTCAAGAGGCTACAAAACCAGCCTAGTTTGGAAGCTGATTTTCCTCTGCAGATTATTGTCCCATTTGCGCAGGATCAAATATTTCTAACGTTGTTATAAACGAATCATCCAATTATTTTGAAATTTGCGCGTGACACACCAAACATGATATTCTGTACACCATAGTTTCATTATTCTGGCAAATTTTCAGCACACTGCAAAATGAGTGGAAAACTCTAGGTTAGACCCAGGAAAGTTTCCACTTCTTGTCATCAGTGTTTTGAAAATCTGAAGAAATAACGCGCATGTGTTATCCAAATTCTGGGATTTTAAAGAGATTTGGTGAGTTTTAAATGAATGCTTACTGTTACGTCTAACAGAAAGTTTGTTACCAACATCAACTCTTGGATAATAATGTGTATTCTTGGTCTTATGTGTTTTCTGCATGCTTTGCAGGTCAAAGGATTTCTTTCAGTTTAGAATGAACTATGCTAAGAATTTTAGATGTTGTGGTGGTATATTTTAAGTCAGCGCACACAACAGGCAGGTTTGAATGCTGAAGAGAATAATGCAACACACAAGTTTAAAGGGATGCAATGGTCAGACAGTGGGTTGCTTGACTTGCTTGCTGGTCTGTCCCCATGAAAAGGGAACATATACACACACACACACATGCAAGAGAGCAGCAGCCTGTATGGCTTGCTGACCTTGAGGCAGGATTTTGTATGTGCATGATTTTGCATGCACAAATCTACTTACCTAACCGAAATTCCCTTCACTGCGAATATTGAACCAAAAGAAGGGAACACAGAGAGCAGGAGTCAGCACATACTGAGCTCATGCAATTTTGGATTTCACATGAAACATCATCAAACACTTATAAAAAATTTGCATTTTGAACTACAGTAGATTTTTTTAATCCCTTGCAGAACTGGGACCACCCGTAGTTTTCTTTCTGAAGCCTCAGACTACTACAAAGAGACACATGCATATCAATTATCCTAAATTTGTAGTGGTGATATCAAATTTCGAACGAAAAAAGCTTTTTTTGCCTTTAGAAAAATAGGAAGGAGATGTTATAGTCTTGGTACTTTCAGGTTTACAGTTCCCTTCTTCTTTTGAGCAGCATAATTCATGTTCATTAGACAAAACGCAAATCATCATAGCAATGTTTCGTTGACTCTTGAAAAGAAAAAAGTATGCTTGCCTGTCAGAAGCTTATCGCAGTCTTAACTTGAAAATTGAGAAGCCTCGGGGAAAATATCCGAGACACCTGGACGTTCGTGTATTTTCCCCGAGAAATTCGCTGCAGACGAGATAATCGAAGTTTAAAAAAAATGGAATTTATTTTGCGCCTTTGAAAATGTAGCCTGGAAAAGTTTGTCTCAGCACTTTCCGAGTGCTATTTTTTATTAGCATAACATATCAATTGGCCAAAAATGAGGTTACCGTGGCAATTTGCATTTTATTGATGAAGAAAAACTAGATTGCACGTTCGTGAAGCTTATCGAAGTCTATTATGAAGAAAATTGAGAAGCCTGCGACAATTTTTCGGACACCTGGAAGCTTGTCTACTTGACGATAAGTTTTCCCAAGACATTTTGGTACAGTGCTGATATCGGAACAAATGCTGATTGGTGAGCAGTATTATCTGCTGCTGATGTTTAGGGGAACCAAATTCCACATTTAAACGACTGAAAACTTTCGCGTAAATTTAATACGGTGTTCTCTGTCGTGCAACAGTGATGGAAAAGTTAACAGAACGAATTAAAAATCCCGTAGAATTTATTTAATTTGGCGTGCATTGAGTTGATGGATACTTGTGTCATGTACAGCAGGAAGTGTTTAAAAAAAGCAGCCTTTATGTCTGATCCCATTTAATCACGCCTATGACGCAACAGCCTCTCTTTTTTTTCTCTGGTTCAGATTGTCTATATCCCCAGCAAGGGATATACAGGTGAACCTCGATAAGTCAAACCTCTCTAAGTCAAATTCCTCCCTAAGTCTAATTTTTTCTGAGTCCCTGTCTGAATTACCTTAGGGATAAAAACCTCCCTAACTCAAAGTCTTTTTTTTATAAAACCTCTGTAAGTCGAATTTTCTGAGGCCTTCTGGTCATTATTTTCTTGAAATATGAAAGATAAAATGATTGAAACAAATAATTTGATGCATCTTGAAAGGAATTTAAAGACAAATACTGTATAACAAGTGATCCCCTGCTTCCAAGTTCAGCAAGGTGCCAAGGTGTGCCCCAGAATATCCTCATTTATGATTTCCCACATTTTTTTCACTTCTCACAACCAAAGTGTTTGATTCCTGGAAACCTCAAAAAATTAAAACCTCTCTAAGTCAAAACCTCTCGTTTCCTGGTCCCTAGAAATTCTACCTAGAGAGGTTGACCTGTACTTTAAATTCCCAAGGGATATACTGTACTGATTTGAAAATTTTTTTAAATATCATAAGATTTGATTAAAAAACAGTGATGCTCTGCAAATTCAAAATTTTTTTCATCTGGACAAATTTTTGGCACACTGAAAAATGAATGGAAAAATCCAGCTGTATAATGGAAAAGCTTTCAATCATCTTTTAATCATGTTTCAATTATGTCTTTTATAATCGTGAGGAAAATTTCATACTTTTCGATTTTTTATGCGTGTTGGAAATATTCAATCCCACGCATAACTGGGAAAACCCCTTGTACTGTTTTCAGTTTACAATATAAGCAAAAATAAAAAACAAAAAACAGCGATGAAAATTTGCTTATATATTTGATACTCTTGATTCAAACATTGGAACTTCATAAATTCAAATGTTTTCCACAGAAATAAACAATCATGAGGCAGATCAGTGCCGGGGTGCTGTTGGCACTCTGTGGCATTGTGTCGTCGCAAAGTCTGGTTTGCTCGCCAGATGGCGCAGGTTCCTTGTATGACTTTTCAGCCCCTCTGTTGGATGGGTCTGGAACTGTTCAATTCTCTGACTATGATGGAAAGGTGAATACAGTAGTAGCGTGATTCGTTTTTGCGGTTTTAACACCTTGTGGATACCTCACACAGTAATTTCAAAATTTGAATCAAATTGAAAGTTTGCCTTTGAAGTCTATGCTTCTATTGTAAAAAAAAAAATTTGTCTTCGCTTTGAAACATAAAGTGCATTTAGGCTCACAACATTTTCTTCTGGGAAATTCCGGTGTTCCTGCTGCATAAGGTTTTAGTACTGTATTTTACTTTGTCAAATATTCCCCAAATTATGACTCATCCTGTTGTTTTTATACTGACACAATTGAAACCAATAAATGGCTAATACAGTAATATAGCTTCAGTTTTTTACCTCTGAAAAACAACTGACCAAAGAATCAAAATATTCCCCAAGTGACTCACCCATGAGTGTCTTGAATTTCGTAAAATTAAAAAAAATTGAATTTTTGAAAATTTTGGAAGGGAACCGTGTGGTGATTGAGTAAATTCAGGAAAATTCTTTTTTGAAATTCCAATTTATACTGACGTATTTTTTATTCATTTTCATAGATCGCCCTTGTGGTGAATTTGGCCTCATTTTGAGGCCTGACCCCACATTACATTGGGCTAAATGTACTGCAAGAAACCTACGGGAACGATTTAGTCATCCTCGGCTTCCCGTGCAATCAATTTTCCTACGTAAGCTCATGTTTTTCTGTGTAATCTCATCCGTGCTGGAAAATGTCTCTTTAATGACGTTCAATGCTCCCACCTTTTTTGTTTGAAATGCAGCAAGAGCCTGGGGCGAATGCCACGGAAATCTACAATGCTCTTGAGTTCGTGAGGCCTGGGAATGGATTCGTCCCGAATTTCCAGCTCTTCAAGAAAATAGAAGTGAATGGTGCAAATGAAATACCTTTGTACACGTTCCTGAAGGTATGTACTTTTAGGAATATAGCCTCTGCAATAGTTTAGTACTTCTGAAGTGAGGGATTACATTTTGTGCTAATCTGTGGCAAAATCCGTTCCAAGATCACCCTCGTGCCTCTCTCTGCCAAAGTCGGAAATAAATTGAGTATTTTGTTTTGTTCGGCACTGTATATGTCATACGAGTACAGTACTGTATTTTTCTTATCTAGCTGTTCATCCCAGAATCATCCAAAGATTTCCTGAAAGCGAAGTAATGTTCGCGTAGCTTATTGCGATTGAAATCATTCCATTCCACATTTATTCTGGACCTCCCCATGATGTATGNTCCTGAAGATATCGCACCTTTCATTGATGAGCTCTTATTGGCGGAAAGGCAGCCAGAAGAAATGCATTCTTCTCCTTTGAAACACTTGTGAAACTCGCGACTGAATTCCGGATGACGTAGATATTCTTCGGCTTAACTCGTACGTGTTTTGTCATTTTGGTACGAATTGAAAATGGGTGATGTTGTCGACAGAAACCTGAGGTTGTTGACGACTGATTTTGGAGGTTTCGAAGGATCTGAGCTTCTTTTTTCTCGCAGTACATTTAGAAGCTCGGACTTTTAATTTCCGTTGGTTTTTCAATTCGTATTATATGATATGATAACATGCGAGTATACCGCGATTTCGAAGTTCGGAAATACAATCACTTTTGGTCTTAATTATTTTATTCAGGTGGGCCTTAAAGTTTGCGTTTATATATGCTGGGCGCGTGAAGTTTCTCAAAGTTTAGAATATTGAGACGCCAGCAAATTTTGAAACTTCGTGCGAATTTTTCCGTATCAGAATAACTTAATTATTCCTCTCAGGTTTCGAAATGACAATGACTTGAATGATAGGAATTTTGAAGTTAAGAAATTATGCTTATTTTGCACGTTTTGGTCATCATAGGGATTGCCTTTGAATGTGGACAATTTTGAAGCTTTTAATCACGTATAGAAGGGAGTTTTATCATGCATTAAAAAATCGAACATCAAGTATAGAATCCAAGTTTCGCAAGATTACGAAACCATGCAGCGCATTCGGAAAGTTGTACCGTCTCCCTCTCTATATCGTAAACAAAGAGGGACAATGTAAAAATTATTTTAGGATGCACAGATGTCGCTTGGATGTACTGTATATTATTAAATGGGTAGGTTCCCAACTGCCCACGCCTGTGTACTATGCTTCTATAAATCGTGCACTGATTTCTGAACCCTTCTGGGAGCTAGTTGTAATTGACATGGAATGGACCAATTTTTTCTAGGGTTAAAATGCTTGAGAAATCCTTCTCCAATATATTTTTTCCTCGAGTTTTTGCACCTCCATATGCTGTAGGTTTGGGATTTACTTGAAATGCCGTTCCCCAATTTTGGGATGGATTTTTTTTCCGTATATGCAGTAAATTTGAATCCCAAAGATAGACTTTGTTGCAGTCAGGGTGGATTGCATTCCAAGTTTTGTAACGAAAGGAAAAATCTTGACTTTCTTCACTGCTCTATCATTTCTAAACTTATATCAATCTTCTTCGTCGCGATACCTTAGGAAGCAATTCACCGAAGATTTGGGTATCAAGTATTATAAAAATTACAGTTATTTTAATGAAGTTTTCGTGTGCTCTCTACTTTTTGGACACTCGGAGGTCTGATATAGATACATAGAAAATCAGCCATAAAAGTGGAATATTCGTCAAGAGTGACGCTTATGTGCTTTCCTCCTTAATGCCAAAACTTACAATTTACGATGTATGAAAACTAACATTTATATTTAACTGTACTGAGAGCCTTTCTAGAGTTCCGGAAATTTCGCAGATATTAGAGAAAAATAAATAGATAAAATTCTGGACCACATTTTTGTACAAACTTTATCAACTATGCCGTTTCTTTTTAATCACTCCGCAACGCGTACGAATGCAATACAATACGCGATTACAAAAAAGACAAAACTATGAACAATAGGTTTTACTCGTTTACTCCAGATAAATTTTCATAAAAAATGCGCCTATTTTTGGATGAGAGCATCAGTAGTAAGATCCCCGAACACTGAATGCACTGAAAGTATCACGAGGCCAAACCACTTATTGGGGGTACGTAGTTTAGTGAGGACAAGGCAAAAGCCAAAACTCCTGACTAGCAGTGCTTGTTTTAAACGCGTTTTAGAAAAGCTTTTAAAAAGGCCTTACTTTGGCACGACCTAGAAGAGCCACGGATAAAATGAAAAGGAAATCAAGCTTAAAAGTACTGCTGTATACCATGTTTCACCAAAAATAAATCCTAATAAGATAAATATACTGTACAGCAATTCACTTCAGACCCTACCTCGAAACTATCATCGTGAGCCGGAACTAAGAGAATTAACTGAAAAGTACCTAGTAAGTTACATGAAATCAAGTTAAGACATAAACGGCCCTTCGATATCATTGATTGTATTTAACCTGGTAAGAACTTAAAAAGAGACAACACCTTTTTAATTTTCCGTAATTATTCGATATTCGTCCATCACTGTTAATTATCCTTGGATGTAAGCGATTCTTCAGCCAAAATAATTCATTTTTTGCTGTTCGTTGGAAGGGTATAGATAGAGATAGACGTGCGCAATAAAACTCCTATACACTGTAAATAACAAATATTTCGATGTTGGAAATAGAAGTGGAGTAGTATTTTTTCATACACGAACATCTTCCAGTCAAATTTTACGGGAATTAAAAAAGAAGTGAGACTTTTCAAGCTAGGTAATTTGGCTTTATTTTTGTTAGTCAATCGAAATTATTTTATGGTCAAATTATTACGATTCTTGATTTTCATAATGCCCTACCTGCAGAAAGTTCCCTAATGCCTCGTGGAGAGCAGAAATAAAATAGTCATCATCGGTTTTTGTTGTGTTATCTGGAGTAGATTGTTCTTAAATTTAGCCCCAAGTTAATAACAGGAAGGTTTTCCGAATTTTTCACTGAGGTAGGGTTGACCCAAAAAGTTTCCAGTCAGCAACGTTTAAATTTAATTGGACTGAAGGGAATTAGCCAGGAATTAACTGTGGATAAAAATCGGCGAAAAACTGAGACGTTTAAACTTTGCGAGGCTCAACTTCGCAGAAATCTTGCTGACTCGAAATTGTTTTTTTCTCCCTCTCTCAAGAGCACGATGCTTTCCTAATTTCGA